GGAAGCTGAGAACTGGCGACTTTCTAGTACAACTTTAGTACGCGGAGCAATCTGTGGAGCTGGAAGCTGAGAACTGGCGACTTTGTAGTACAACTTTAGTACGCGGAGTAGCTGTGGAGCTGGAAGCTGAGAACTGGTGAGTTTCTAGTACAACTAAGTTATATTGCTGGCATTCAGGTTTATATTGCTGGCATTCAGGTTTGGAAACTTTCTGGAAAAATGCTCCGCTACCACATGCAATACTTGCTGGCATGGCAAAGATTCAGTCTTTGAGTCAGCACTTTCATTGTTTGAAAGAACCACTTCCAGTGAAGGAGTTGAACTTGAGCCAAGATAACCAACAAAAAGGAATCAACTTAGGTCTAGAGAACATTACCACCACAATAGGATATGGCCAACAGGGCTTAGAAAATATCTATGTGCGTGTTTGAATACACTCTCCTCGCACACCGCTGCTGAACTAAAAATATTCAGCCTGACGAAGCACAAGTGAGCCTCTCAGCACAGCAACCTCGGGATGCAAAAACCCAAAGAGGTCAGGCAATTTGTTATCCAACATATTCTTTACCAAACGTGGGAAATCTTGGAACCATGTTCCAAGCAGAGTTGGCATCTTTGGGTTTTGGCAATCGATTTGGACGCCCTTCATAGGAACATGTACTGCGTATGAGTCTGTGCTCAGTGTATATTGTATCAGGATCTAACCAACTAAGGCCTCAGGAGAGCACAGATTCCAGAGTGGTCGAGCGGTCGTCGCAGGGGGTTCATTGAGGCCGGCCTCGGGCCGGCGCATGGCTCAAGACGTCGCCATCTCTGTGCAGTTCACGCCTCCTCTTGAAGAGAGGAGGTGTGAACTGCACCAATAGGTGAACCTAGTGACATCTAATGAACATGTTCTTCATGTTTTGGAGATGGTCTGAACTGTTCAACAAACAGAACCTCTGCACATCAGTGAACCCATCAACTGGAATCTCCATCACAAAGATTCAACATTGGCACTGTGATTTTTACTTCTCGCGCTCGGGTTGATCAGCCATTTACCCCTGGCCAAAAGATCTCAGTGTGCATCAACACTGAGTACCAAGCTTGCCACAACACTCCAAACAAGAATTTCCTCAAAGTTCCTAACAGTTCTGAGAACAAAACAACTGTTCATCAACACTGAACATCAATCAGTTTTGGGTTCCGATCCGGGTGGCCATGAGCTGAGCCCTCAAGGGGCTTTCCATCCAGGCCGCGTTGGCCGCTTTGCGGCGTTCGTTCGACGGGGCCATGCCAGACGCAGCAATCCATTCTGAAACAAAACGATTTCGGGCGTCAAGCGTGGACACGTAGGGAATCGGGGGCGCCGGCTCAGTGCTCTCAGCTGTAGGCTCCGCTGCAGGAGGAGGGACGCGTGGGACTCCTTTCTTGACCCACTTGGCGTGCCAGGCGTCGGAGTTCCTGCGGTGGATGATCTTCTTCATCTCTTCAGCAGAAGGCTGGCTAGCACCGGGCGTTGCGTTGTCCACAGAAGGTTGTGGAGGAGCTTCCACAAATTCTGGGAGAGGATCTGGAGATGTGGGAGCAGCATTTGATGGGGCTGGAGCATTGCCATCACTACCATGTCCACCATCACGACCATCCTGTGTCCCCGATGTTGACTTCTTCAAAGCCTTTTGAGGGGTTGCAATAGCATCAATGGCTGCCTGATCCAAACAAGCCTTCCGCTTGATCCCACCAAAGTGTTCAACAGCGTGAACAGTGGGGGCATCTTCAAAGACCAACTCCTTCCGAACAGCTAGATCAGCAGCCCTCAACTGCTTAGCAAGCTCATCCATTGACTCTGGATCAGTTGAAGGCTCTTCAAAAACCCCGGATGGTGGGTCCAGTTGTGAATCCTGCATGTTCTCCCACTCCTCCTGTTGTTCCAGGCCATCTTGTCCAGAAGGTGGGCCAGTCCTGGGAAGGAGTGGTGGTGGGGCCCATGTATTACCTACAAAAAAAATGTGTATATATATATATAAACATATATTATATATAAATAAAATTTGGAAAACAATCATTCTGATCAAGGCTCTCTACAGGTTGAGCCATCTTTGAAACTGGCGGGGCCGTCGTAAGGCAAAACACACCAGGAGAAGGGCGAGGAGCATCATGGATAAACATTGAACGGGCAGACTCGGTCTGCTTGGGGGCACCGCTGTCAATGCACAGAGGTGCAATCTCATACTCCATCAAGTCATCGTCAATGACAACTTGGGTCATCACCATTGAGAGGGATGAGCGGTGCAGCGGTGCAGCCAAGGAACTAACAAATAGGATTGAACCCCAAAAGCCTTCCACATGTAATATATTCGGTTCATCGAAACAGTTTCCAACCCCAAGAATATCTTTAGATATCTTTAGGTCAAGCTCCCAAGGCTTATGCTGGGTCCATGTGAATGTGCAAGCTGTCCTGTTTTCACTCTCACTCATCTTCGCTCCTATCGGTTGGCGCAAAAGCCTACCCCTGTACATCACTCAATTTGGATGTAGAGGCTGTGCCAAGATGTTCACACCACATCGTGTGCTTTAACCCCATAATCATAAAATCTGCTGGTTCAACCTAGGGCCATGATCAGGCAATGCGTTTGACTGCATGCTTCACCAACTCCAGATCTCCTGGCAGGTACCAGAGCGGCTTTGCTGCTGCCACACACTTCTCGGTTGGATAGCGTCGAAGGCGCCATACCTGATGGATGACAATGGGTGTTCAGGGAAGAACTGCTTGTGATTCATATTCCCACAAAATATCACATAATGAAAAACTATAGCAATAGGAATCAACATGAACCTATATATGGTCCCAGACACCAGCCGCAAAGGGCTTTTCTCCAACAAGTCATAGTTGAAGTGACTTGCGATGTTGGCGGCCTTGAGGTTCTTGCTGGGAATCTGGTTGGGTCGCCACAAGAGGGAATTGCCACCATCTGCTTGGATGACAAAGTGATCCGAAGCACGCCCTTGTTGAACAAGTGGGGGCCTGCTGCACGAGTGCCCACCTAGAGTGAACTCGACCATCCCGTCAGACTCTACCTTTTGCAAGGCTGCTCGTAGCGACATGATTTGAGAGTCAGAGTTGCCCTCCTAACAGGGTTCATTGACCAATATGCATGAATCAAAGATCAACCCCATCAGTTGAAAATGATTGAACATGTTTTTTTACAGTAAATCCTATTTGGCAACCAGTATCCTCCAGCACCACGAGGCCCTGATCATCAGACCATTTGCAGGGCACTCCACGACCAGGGTGTTCCCCCTCAAACTTATCTGCCTTCTCTCCAAGCAACCAAACCCCAGCACCGTGGGACATGATCGCAGCGTTGGAAGCCTTGATGCTCATGGCGTCAGTAGCGACCACGAAGATCTTGGGCCCAGGGACAAGGATGAAATTGAAAGAGGTGCCCCCTGGCATTTCTGTGAAGTCAGGATACTTTTGCTTGACATCATCCAGCTTGGTTGGCTCATCAGGGAAGTGCGCCGACCAATCAAAGCTACCTGTCAGGTGTGCCTCTTCCTTCACCGGGCTCCCAAGGGTCTGCGACCCATCAGGACTGGCAGTCGTGCTTTGGGTGGCTGGTGAATCAGGAAGCGGCGTGCTCCACTGTTTGTCAAACTCAGTGACAATTTGTCGCCACTCCACCCCCCAAACAGGATCTTGAAGGAATTGTGCACGCACATCCCGGGGCAAAATGAGCTTGTTGTTCTCACCCACTTGGCAAATCTTCAGTGTTGGAAGCTCAGCTGCCTTTGGAAGGTCCTCTGAGGGCGCATCCTTTTTGTACCTGGGGGTAAGGTGCTGCATTGGCGCTGCACCCTTCTTCCAAGCCTGACAGGACTCAAAATCCAGTTTTTGTGTCAATCAACCCAATTGCAAACAGCTCATGATTATTGATTCCCCTGGATTCAACTGTCAACTTTGAAACATGGTTCCATGTTGATGGAATAGGCGAACCTGCAAGAGGTGGTTCTTCACAACTTCTCTCGAGCACTTGTGATAGCTCTCCACTGCCGATGATCCCACCGCAGCGTACCCATGTTGAAGGCAAGCTAGCTCCACACACCCGTCGTAAGTGGTAGGGTGCAAGACAACCACTGCTGATGGGGTCTTCAAGTGGCCTCAGGTTTAGAGGGGCTTTGCTACAAACTGATTCTTGTGGCATTTGGTTGGATCTGAATGGGCTTACACAAGTGTCAAATAACCGACCCACATATCAGAATCCATATTCAGTCCAAGCCCCAATAAATGTTTGTTAAACCTGCTGACAAGTCACTGCAAAGATGCTCCAGAACCGCTGATGGCACTGCTTGGCCTCCAAGCCATTGGCTTGTTTCTTGGAGATCCGTTAGATTCCGCCTCTCACTGTGAGAGAGGAGCGCTTCGCCTGGAACGACAAACTCCTTTTCTGGCAAGGCAGGTGGGAATGCAGTGGCAGGAAGGGCCTGGCGCAGCCACAAAGGGCTGGAACAGAACCTGGGCTTGGCGTTGGTTTCAAATAGAGTAGGGTTGAACGTTTTTGCGCCAAAAAGACAAGCGAATATATACATATTGAACATGCACCAATGAAGCCACAGGCACACATTCACTGAGCTCTCGGGTTCTGGCACACCACCCCGAACAACCCTGTGAGCTGTGCCCCTCAACGGTAATGATGAATCCAGGACCCCGATGTAGCACACGAACCCCATTGGAAGTTCCCGGTTCTTGTGGAGCTGGTCAATGTTCAGGTTCAAAGTGAACGATCGAAGTTCGATCTTGTGAGCGTTCAGCTTGTCTTCCAACTTCCTGGATACGAAAAGAGGTCTTCAGGCTGGATCACTACACAGAAGTAAAGTTCCCAACAAATCCACAAAACATGTTTTCTTGAGTGGGTTAAAGCCAATTCTTTTTGCACCCCACCCATTCCTGATATCTTTCCGCAATGTGCCAGCGCTGTCGGAGCCCACCAGCAGCGGCGGGATCAGCACCAGAGCGCTACCTAATTTAGGGGGGACGTTGCAGCACCCATCACCCATTGATAGACAATTGAAAAACAACCAAACATAACCTAACCTAGTTCAATGGTGTTTGAACCTGAAGGAATAAATTGAAACTAGCTGCGGGAAGGGTTTCGCATCAAATGCCGCTCTGCCATGCTACCAATGTGGTTGATTTCACCTTGCTGCAAGACACCAAGTTTGGTGCAATCCACATAAAGCAGTGAGTAGACGTCAGTCACTCCAACCTGCAGGTGTCAGGGAAAAGGAATTCATGGTACCAACACTTGGACAAGACTAGATCATGGTAGCGGAGCAGGCTTTCAAAACCATGGACGTTTGCTGTAACTTTCAAACTTTGAGCCTTGCAGGTTGCAGCGGTTTGCCTGAAGACAGCTTCAGTCTTTGGATCCAATGCTTGCTTGTCAGTCACGAGGCTAATGCGGCAGCACTTCTCCATCAGGTTCTCTGCCAGCCTCAACGACTCAGTGTTAACAAAAGGCTTGGCAAATTGCAATTCAGGGAACCCCAAGAGAAGACCAATAGAACAAATCAAAAATTGGATGAATCTTTGCCAAACAACTCCTTTCCAATTTGCATTTGTGATTTCTCGTGCATCACCTTGACCACATGGCTCCGCCGCTGGCACTCCTCAACCCCTGTGTTGTGCTGGGTCATCGCAGAGCAGTCCTGAGCCAACTTCGCGCGAATCTCCCGGAACTTTGCTGCCTGGCTCTCATCCTCAATGTCCATCAATTCAGCTGCGCTGTGCACCTTGATGGGGACAGAGGGAGGCTCCACCATGTCGGTCCACAAACCCAGGTGCTGCAGCTTCCAGGTCGAAAGCTTCGAAGTGATGGTGGCTTCAATCTCCTGATAGTAGTCCCTTAGCTCACGCCCACCCAGAAGAAACATGTGAGTATAGGGTGTAGGAGAAACAAAGCGCCCAAATAAAAAAGGCTTGAGGAGTTCCAAATTCTTGCAACATTAGCCAAGTAACTTTTGGAAAAAGGCTTTCAGAATCATCTTCTCCTTCTCTTCAGTGAAGCTTGCAAGAAGCCTTGCCTCCCGAAGCACCGATGCATAGACACAGGCGAAGTCACAATGCGCATCAAAGGTTGATGTAGACCATCGGACTCTTGGCCTTGCGCTCGGTCGGAGCCGCCTGCCATTGTCCAGGAAACATTGGACAGTGAGCTGCAAGTGCAGACTTTGGGCCTCCTCATTCACCGTGAGAACTTTCTTCAGTTCGGCAGGGCAGCTGGTGGACTTGGGACTAGTCCCCAGCAACCAACGCTGTGAGCGAAACTGCTCAGTGCTGAAGCAGCACTCCTTCCACTTGTGGTGGTCGACATGGGATCGAATAATGTTGCGGGATGCCTTGACTTTCAAGGGCCAAAAGGAGTGAAGACTCACATCTTGAAAAAACAAAAGATAAAACTAAAGGGCCAAAAGGTAAAACCAAAGAGTACAAATCTTGAAGCAAAGCGCAACAGTGGTGCCTCCAATGATGTTCAACATAGCACGAAAGCGATCTTCGTCCATCTTGTGTTTTGCTTGCAACCCGGCCGACGAGTTGAACTCCTCGACAATCTCGCGTAACCGCTCTTCCGCAGTCATAGAAGGCAGGTGACGCCCATCGGCCTCCCGAATCTCCATTAACTTGGAGAAGCGAAGAGACAATTGGAGAGTGTTGGGACTTTGCCTCTCCGAGCCGCGGAATGAAAGGGTCATATTGCGGAAGCTTCGCGAGGTCTGGTCCATGTCGAAGGTGAACTTGGCCGAGGCTGACACCGCCCAGAACAAACAAGTTGGACTAACAAGTAAAGTAACAAGTAAGTCCACCCACACAAGCTTGCTGGGCTAATTTCTCAATAAGGCGCATGAACTGGAACCATCCAACACTTCTCCAACACTGGCACCAAAGGTTTGAGCCACTCAGCGCGTGAGGGATCAGTCATGTCGATCTCGCTTGCAGCTAGGAGCATAGTCATCACCACACTGGACCGCGTCCAACCTTTGACCTGGTCGATGCTCTGGCATTCGCAACGCCATGAATCTGACAGGGTTGCATGCTTTCAAAAATGTTTTACACATGTCCCACAGGGTCCCTGTGTCCCCACTTCTCCAGGCCACCCCACTCGCTTATTTTTGGACAGGTGTCGGGAGAGTTTGATTTGTAAGAAACCGTGCCTCCTGCTGTTTGCATGGACCCATCCAATGGCTCCCTTCCCAAGTCCACACCGCCGAACAGCATGGATTCGAAGGTGCTGATCCAATCTTCCATGCATGGATAGCCATCATCAGGCTTGTCGAACCTGAGCGTGGCGCGGGTGGTTGAAGAGTTGCGAAGATTGCACCCGAAAGAATATGGACATAGTATATATATATAAACTCATATTATGCATATATATATATAAGTATATATATATATATATCAGAGACATTGAACACCTGGCTGGTGACACAAAGAGTATGAAAGGCAACCTTGGGTACTTTTGAACCATCTCTCAAACACAAGTGTGTGTGTGTGTGTGTGAAAACTTTTGTACACAACAAGTCACCTCAAACAAGTGATCGGGACCTTCACTGTCTCGCCGTTCATGCTTGGGTCGAGAGCCTCACGTGCGCAGCTGGAACTAGAAAGGAGTTAGTGTAGAAGAAGGGAAGTAGAAGGAAACATGTCTGTGAAAAAAAGTGGATGCAAAAAAGATGTGGATGCAAAAAGCAAGGAACTTGACCACTCGGCTTGAAGAGATATGGTTTGCCCAACCAGTTGGCAAAGTCGTGAAACCATTGTTCGATTTGACGGCAATGCAAGGCCCGAGTGGATTCATCTGGGGACACCATGACATCAAGCACGAGGCTGGCTGGGTGGGAGTCTCCCCAATGGCCTTCGCCACGGAAAGAGTCCACGTAGGTATGCAAGTCCTGCTACGTAAGTTGGTTTTGGAATGCAATAGCACGGTGTGTACCACTTCTTGAAGAACACTTTACAGTTCGAAGAATACAGATGATATGTTTGATTTCCAAACTTTGAACTATAGTTGATTTTTAGTCTTGGGCTCCTTGACAAGGCTCAAATCACCTGGTGGAAGCTTCTGCATTTGCTTCTCGTAGTTGGAGCACTGCCGCTTCACAGGTGGCTGCACATCATCCTCGTCTTTCTTCATGGCCAGGACCCTTTCTTCCACCTTCTGCTTGAAGGGCGTAGTGTTCGCCATTGGGAAGGGCTGTTGGCTTCCCAGCAGTCTACTTCAAGATTGCTGCAGTGGACATCCAACGAGTCCAATGAGTCCATCGATTCTTATGTTGAAATCTTGATGGAGGATCAATGCACTCTGGGAGCTGCAGTCCATCGAAAACCTTGATTATTGAAGTTGAGGTTCAATTTTTTTGGGGTGTCCCTTAATTAAAATTGATGCTCACCTCCCAAAACCTAGGTTTTCAATGCACTCCAGCTCCTGCAGTCCATCGATAATTTTTTGGGGCCCCAACATCAAAGTCAATGTAGTGAGATTACTCAGTCCCCATGTTCCATGGGATCAATGCACTCTAGGTCCTGGAGTACATCGACCTTCCTCTGAGACCCTTGCAGTGAGAGGTATGTGCATCGAAACCACCCCGAGGGCAACCCAGGAGCTGACGGTACATCGAAAAAGCCTTGATAGCTCACATGAATGGTTGGGTGCATCGAAAGTATCTGTCCAAGAGCTTTGAAACCCTGCGGTGCATCGAAAAACACGTTCAGGGACGTTCCAGTACATCGAAACGCAACAACACAGACCTTAAGGTGCATCGAAAACCTCTGCCGGGACACCCTGGGTGCATCGAAAACGCCCGCCGGGACCTGCTGGGTGCATCGAAAAACTCTGCCAAGCCCCCCCAACCCCTACAGTGCATCGAAAACCTTTGAACCCAACTAGGAGGTTTCCAAACATGTTGAGAAGATATGAAAACATAGTTGCACACTGTGTTCCAAATGGCCCTGTGTGCTGGCGCCCCCTGGCAATGCCTTTTGCTTGCCTCAGGCTACTTTGAGCTTTGATGAGAACATTGGCTTAGCCAGGAATCCCAAGATCCGGCTTGGGAATGGGATGGAATGGGTTTGGAGAGACACGGACCATTGGCCCCGAATCTTTCAATTGTGCGCCCCGCGAGCAAAGACCGCCCTTAATGGCACAGCAGGGGCAAGCGCATCCAACACCGCTTGGTGCATTACATACCTAGCTTGAGCTGGATACAGTGGTGCTTGGTCTTGGGTATGCCAGGGGAGCGGAGTCAAGTCTGTCTCCTCCCAATAGGTGTTTGATGCCAAGTCCTCCAGGTACTGGCAGGCCCTTTGGTATCTGTGGCCATAAGTCTGCAGCACAGCTTCCTTCAACTTCCTCAACGCCACTGCTGCTGCTGGCTTATGGTTGTTGGCTTTCCTTGGGGGTAGACAGCAGACCCATGGGGTGAAAGAACAAATGGTTTGCGGTGTGCATTTTGGAACTTGGGTCCGAAAGAAATACTGTATCAATAGAACTTGTTTTGAAGCTTTCAACCAATAGCTTTGTGGTCGGTACCAGGTCCATCCTTGCAGCACGATGGTTTGTAAGAACCAGCATTGGTTCCTGTGATAGCTCGGAGTCACAAATGTGTTTCTTGATGAAAGTGATGACATCAAAGTCAGAGGGCGCTCCGCGGAAGGAGCCGTGGTTGATGTTCCGGGCAAAAGCTGGCGGTACATCTGCAGGGTTTAAGTTCAAGTTATATATATCACAAGGCCATTGTTTGGGCGCACCTAGGGTCTCAAAGACAAACCCCCTCATGTAAAGGGTCCCAAAAAGATTGCGAGGAAATTGTTTAGTGTCCCTTTCCTCGTCGTTGCATAGCCAAGAACAAATGATTTCCCTCATCATCTCTGAGCAACCCTCCCTCCAGCTTAACGCCAGTGCTGGAGACGTGGTTTTGCCAATCCCGGGTGTTGTTCAGCTTGCGTACGTTGACGGTTGTAGTGGGTCCCACCCAGTCCTTGATGGATGGCTTTGTCAATTCATCTTTTATGGCGTCCATCACATCAGTTGGATCTTGAAGGTCTGATTGGGATGCAATTCTTCTGCTGATGATGCCCCAGCATTGATCTCAGTAGGTTGCTACACAGTGTCCACCCCAAATCATGACTCCTATTTGACTTGGACCCTAAATGAAAAATTGCTAAGCTCAGTCAGAGCACCGATTTTGCAATGCGTGTGGCTCTTTCTGAGGTGGCATAGGCAAACCACCCGGAAACGGTGTTTGGCAGCCAATAGATGGAGGTATGAGAGGAAGTACTGATTCTTTGCTTCTCTGACAGTGTTGTCTGCCTTAAGATCTAAACACGCAGAAACCAAAGTCTTGCAATGTGTCTTGAATGGTCTTGGTATCAGAAACTAGTTTGGCCACAAAATATGTTTGGAAACCTTTGTTCTAACCAGATGTCAAGACACGTTAACCAATAACGCTGACGGTCGAGGGCAATTGGATTCGTCACACTGACGCATCACCTGCTAGTGAAACTTGTTTCTGATAAAAACGTGATCATCGTTTTAAGGAGAGTTATTTCTTCAGGTTGAGTACCACGTACAGTTTTTTGAACCAAGGGTCGTCCTCTATTGTGATCGCGATGATCTCGGTTATGGCCGCCGAGTCATGGCGGCTGTATTCGTCTAAGACGAACACATTCAATGCAAACCCGTAGGCCCATGCCCCGTGAATCTTCATCCGAGGCCGTTGATGTTTGCTCCTGAAGGCGCTAGCCGGTCGATGTTAGGATTTGGAGTTGAGGGCCAAATACTATTAGAGGCTTAGAGGACCAAAAGGTTCCTTTTCTAACGATGTTGTTCCAAGAATCAAAGCGGCGTTGGCTCTCAAGCCTGGCTCTCTTGGGAGAGCAAATTTTGATTGGTCTAAGCCGTCTGTGCTGATGAACAATATGCCAGACTGGTGGTCGGTCCCCTCAGACTGTAGCTTCCATAGAGTGCACCGGTCTGCAAATTGGTCGTGTAAATGAGACCTGTATGTATGGAGTGTTCCTAGCTTTTGGTCCATTGTGAAGGAGCGATCCGCCAATTGAGCTTTGAGAACTGCGCACACTTCACATGTTGTGAAAAGCGACTTTTGGCGAAATTGAAGCACATCTTTCCATCTCCGTTTGTACACATCAGTGAATGTGTTGTACCTTTGGCACGGCCCCAATTCTAAAAGGAAGCCACCCCTTTTCACCCCAAAAAATTGTCAAACAAGCGTGCGCAGGGCGGCCAAGAGACCCAACACAGTGACCACCGAGAAGTGATTGGGTCGACTTGTAGTGCTCAAACAATTCCATCAAGTTCCCTGGTGGAAGGAACTTCCGAACTAGAGCTTCGCCCGGGACAAGGCCAAGCCTGTTGCACCCCTGAGTTGACAGCCACTGTTTTAGGTCTTCCATTTCGACCTCAGAATCTAACTCCTCAAAATCACTCGGACCATCGTCGTCCAGATCAGGCTTCCTCCGGGCTGCGCGGCCTCTGCGGATGAACCTGACAGACAAAGAGCAGGCCCTAAGATACAAGCATATGAGTGGCAACAGGTTGAGAACATATGAGAACATCATGCTTTTCTGATTCACAGGTTGAAGACTTGGCTTAGGACAAGAAACTGATCAGGAAGTGTCTCAGCGATGGAGTCGTAGCAAACTTGCAGGAATGCGTCTACTGTAAACGTTCCTGGTTTTGATCTATGCTCTCTCCTCCCAAAGCGTAAATCAGGTGCTCCAGCTGCCTGCCTTTCCAGCCGTTCTTGGCCGATGGCCAGAACCTTGAGGAGGCACTTCCTCCCGATCGGTTGGTCAAGCAGGGTGAAAGTAGCCCGGTTGTCACACTCGGCGAACTGCATGGCCAACTCAGTGACACAAAGACTAGAACAATTAGGATACAAAAGGCCCACAACCAAACAATTCTCTGCAAAGGTCTGCTTTGATTTGATAGACTTCAAAGTTTTGCAACCCAAATTGAAAGAAACGTGTTTATCTAATGTGTCCAAAGAACCAAGCCATCTTGGTCTTGCTTTGAGAGATTCCAAAACTTATTCACAAAAGCCGGCAACTCTTTGGAACCAGAGAACTGATTGAAGCAAGTCTTCCGTGCACCTTGGTGTACAGCTGGATGTCATACGGCAGAACCCACAGGTTTAGGAGCTTGGGAACTAAAATAGTGACTGAAACCAGAGAAAAAAGAAACATGATCTTTTGGCTAGGCACATTGGCATTGGGAAGCAGTGATGAGACGTTGCAAGCGTGAAGGGTCAAGGCCATTCTTTCTCTGGACACCAGAATTGTTTTGCCTCTCATAAGAAGCCACTGCTTTTCTTTTCGTGTTGTCATAGACTCGCGAAACTTTCTTGCTTTTTGGATCATCTATGTTGTCTTTCCAGAATGAAGACATCTGAAAATTTGTCACACAGCGCCATCCCAGTGAGAATACTGTCTTCTTTTGTGGCAAAAATTGATGGTCAGTGACGTCCGGTGCATCACAATCAAAGTCCTCATCAGGACCTGGGACTGGAAAGCTGCCTTGGGCCTCTGATTCCTCGGGCTCATCCCCGAATAGAACATGTGAAGCTAGCCGGCGAGCTTTTGCACTTGGCAGGCACCCTTCTTCAGACTCTGCCCCAAACGGTGAAGAACTCACATCTCGAGCTGGTCGAACCTTTGCTTTTGGGTGGCCCCCCTCTTCAGGCTCCACCCCAAAAGGCAAAAGACTAGCACCTTGAGCGGGTTTGACTCGTGATCCAACCGGTGTGTGACCGACCTCTGCGCCAGAGGTCTCTTCAGCTGGCTCAGCGCCAAAAG